CAGATGTGGGGTTGGTGAATATCTCTTCCCATTCTGTGGGCTGCCGTTTTGTCTTGCTGACTGTGTCCTTAGTCTTACAGAAGTTTCTCAGTTTCAGGAGGACCCATTTATTAATTGTTGATCTTAATGTCTTTGCTACTGGTGTTATGTTCAGAAAGTGGTCTCCTGTACCAATTCATTCGAGGGTACCACCTACCTTCTTTTCTAGGAGATTCAGTGTGGCTGAATTTATGCTGAGGTCTTTGATCCATTTGGACTTAAGTTTTGTGCATGCTGATAGATGGATCTATCTGCAATTGTCTGCATGTCCGATTCCAGTTGTGCCGGCACCATTTATTGAAGATGCTCTCTTTTTTCCACTTTATGTATAACTTTAGCTTCTTTGTCTAAAATCAGGTGTTGGCAGGTGTGTGGGTTAATAGCAGGGTTTTCAATTCGATTCCATTGGTCAACCTGTCTACTTTTGTGCCAATACAAAGCTGTTTTCAGGACTATGGCTCTATAATAGAACTTGAAGTCAGGGATAGTGATGCCTCTGGAAGTTCTTTATTATACTGGGTTGTTTTGGCTATCCTAGGTTTTTTTGTTTTTCCATATGAAGTTGAGTATTGTTTTTTCAAAGTCTGTGAAGAATTATGTTGGGATTCTGTTGGGAATTGCATTGAATTTGTAGATTGCTTTTGGCAAGACTGACATTTTTATTATGTTGATCCTACCTATCCATGAATATGGGAGATCTTTCCATCTTCTGCAGGGATGGATCAACATACAAAAATCCATCAATGTAATCCACCATATAATAAACAGAAAAAGAAAAACCACATGATCATCTCACTAGATGTTGAAAAAGCCTTTGACAAAATCTGACATCCTTTCATGATAAAGGTCTCGGAAAGATCAGCAATAACAGGAACATACTTCAATATGATAAAAGCAATATGCAGCAAACCAACAGCCATCATCAAACTAAATGGAGAGAAACTCAACGCAATTCCTCTAAAATCAGGAAAAAGTCAAGGCTGTCCACTCTCTCCATATCTCTTCAAAATTGTCCTTGAAGCTCTAGCTAGAGCAATAAGACAACAAAAGGAGATCAAGGAAATAAAAATTGGACAGGAATAAGTCAAACTCTCACTATTTGCAGATTAAATGATAGTTTACATAAATGACCCAGAAAACTCTACCAGGGAACTCCTACAGTTGATAAACACCTTCAGCAAAGTGGCAGAATACAAAATTAACTCAAAAAACTCAGTAGCCCTACTATATACAGAGGATAAGTGTGCTGAAAAAGAAGTCAGAGAAACATCAACCTTTACAATAACAACAAACAACATAAAATATTTTGGGGGTAACATTAACCAAACACATGAAAGACCTGTATAGTAAGAACTTTGAGTCTTTAAAGAAAGAAACTACAGGTTTATTTTTGCTTGCTGGTAGGGCAATGGTGACAGAAATATTTCACTTGAAAGCCTGCCTTAGAAAGTCTCAGATTATTCTCACATAAATAATCTCTGCTTGCATAATTTTTGTTCCACTTTTATCCCTCTTTCCCCAATCTCCTCCATATTTGCTGCCACATTGAGATAATCATTAGTGTTTATTCAGATCTCCATGGTGACAATCCATTCTCTGGTCTCCACGGTGACACATGCAAACACTTATAACCTCTCAAATTCATTTTGTTTGTTTATTTGAAATGTCTACTGATTTGATTTATCAGCCTACTCCATGCATAACAACACATATATACTTTCCAAGAATAAAAGAGAAGATAAAGTAAAATAATATTTATACCCCCTTTTAAAGATTTATTTTATATTTTAATCTTGTGAGTTCCAGTGCCCATGAGACCAGAGGTATCAGAGCCTCCTGGAGCTTGTGAACTGCCTTCCATGAGTGCTAGGAACCTGATCAAGTTTTCTGCAAGAGTAAAAGCTATATTCATGCTTGACTGCCAGTCATGCATGCAGTCCCTGAAACATGTTTTATACATAAATAATCTCATAAACTGTTTTGGGAAGTATCATGAAGGAGTATGTCACCATAAGACCTTAAATCTACACTTTATTTTTGGAAGCTCACCAAGGCTTTTGTTAACACTGAGACTGATGGCTAAAACCAGGATGGATGTGGAAAACAGAAACAATGGCTTACCTCAATGGATGCTTCATTCTAACATTCTTAATACTGTGGCAGGAAAATAGAAAAATAATTGTTGTAGTTCCTTCCAGGTCAAATATTTTCTTCTCTGAAAAATGGAGGGGGGAGTTTAATCCCAGAAGCATCCTAGTTCCTGGTTAAAATGGTATGTTATATTTACTTATCAAGTATAAATGTTCTGATGTGAAAGAGTTAAGTAATTATCAAGTTGCTCTTACTAGCCAACTGATAACATAATTCTTCTGGACTATTACCCAGCGTTTTCATCAAATAAGAGAAATTTGGGGGTGAACAGGACAAGAGTGAGATGCATGGTTTTTAGAGTGCATCATTGCAAGTTTGCAAAATATCTCCAAGAACTATGAAGAAATATATTTCTCTCTTTTTTTTCATTTTTATAAAACACTAAATTTATTCAAAGTGTTAAAAGATTTCACTCTCCCCTCCAAAATACTTTATAACTAAAAAAAAATCAAAACTACTTTCTCAACCACTGTTACTTCCTTTTCTTAGGACCAGACTGTCCCTCCAAACCTTTCCCTCCATGCTTCCACAGTACCCCGCCTGCCTTGACTGCCCAGCAGAGCCCATCATGGCTTTCCAGTCCTTTTTGGCAGAAAGGCTGACTAGACGGGAAATTCACAGGTGATGCCCAAGAGACAGTGGGGTGCTTTGTGCTTTTGGGAGAACAGCTAGTTGGGATTTTTTTTAAGTGGGTCACTGTTTTTTGCCCATGGACACCTGTTTAGAGCCAAATATTTGGCTTAGGGTCACCCCAGCCTTGTCAAGCCTTTGTCCAGATCTCCCTAGGCATGGGTCCATGACAACTGCATCTGAAGACTGTACCATCCTTCTCCTTTTAAACTGATGTTAAGAACAGAAAAAGTGGCACAAGGGAAGTGGGGTTTGATGGAGTTCCCAACTTTTTAGAATATGGGCACCAAAACCCCAAAGCAGCAGCTTTGGGTTTTGTAGGCAATGAGCCAGGGCCTGCTAGGACCACAGGAAGTAGGGTAGTAAAGGGAACAGTCTAAAGACATGAGTCTAGGGTAAGCAAAGCTCCTTCTGAGATCCCCTTCCCATCCTCCCTCATCTTGTACTTCCCAGGATGATTCTAGAAAAGAGGACGCAACAGAAGGAAAGGTTTCTGCGGTGGTGATGGGTAAGGCAGGAGATGATAGCTGTTCAGGGCTGGGGAAGGGCCTTCTGGAATTTGTAGCTGGCCGTTTTCCTGTTCTGTGAAGTGGGTTGGGGGCCAGAAGCCGGGCCCACAAAGACTTCTTCAGCTCTGTTCCTTGTCCTTAACTAGTAAGACTGTGTGCTGGCCTCCACTGGACACAGTTAAGACCACTCGGTTCTCTAGCTTTTTGCCAGTCATTTCCACAGGGCTCCAGTCATCTTCATCCTGCCCTGTGCCCAGCTGGTAGTTGGTGCCCATGCCCCAGGCAAAAACACAACCATCCTTGGACACAGAACATCCTACAGAAGCCCCACAGGCCACTGAGGAGACGACGGGCAGCCAGGAAATGAGGGTTGGTATGCTCTTCTCCTCGACACCCTCCCCAAGGCCCAGCCGCCCATATTCAGCCCTGGCCAGGCTGTATGCGTTTCCTTCTGAATCCACGCAGATTGTATGTTGCTGGCCAGTAGAGAAGCCCACACAGAACTTAGTGGAATTCTTGAAGGATGTCAAGTTCTGAGGAATGAAGCAAGATGCAGTGTCCGGAGTTCCAAGCTGGTGATAGTTGGAGAGGCCAAAGCCATACATATGGCCTTCATGGGAGATGGCAAAAGTGAAATAGGCACCACAGAAGGCATCCTGGAACCGCACACGGCCCCGACTTCCCCTGGATTTTAGCAGCACACACTTGGGGACCAGGAGTCTCTCAAGGCCCTGACGGACACTTTGGTTGGCAAATAACTCAGGCACACGGCCCAGCTGACCCTGCTCCCCACACCCCAAGGTGTAGAGGTCTCCTTCAGTCGTCAGCATCACCAAATGGTCATTCCCTGAAGCCACCTTTACCACAGGCATGTCCAGCTGCACTTGAACAGGAACCATGCTCTTCTTCATGGGCTTCAAATACCCAATCACACGATTATTGTCCCGGAAAGAGCCCCAGAGGAAGACCCGGCCATCTTCGGTAAGGACTGCTGTGTGACTGTCTCCTGCTGACACTTGGACCACCTTCTCTTGCAGTTCCACTTTCCCAGGGACCATCTCTGAGCCCTCAACTGATGTCTCCCTTCCCAAGGCACCCTCATCATTGCAGCCGAAGGAGTAAACCTGGCCACTTTGACTCAGACACACGGTATGCATGCCCCCGGCTTCAGCCTGCACAACATCTTGCAGAAGGGGTACCAAGGCCGGCTTCTTCCTCTCCAGCACACTCTCACCCAGCCCCAGCTGGCCCACGTCTCGCTGGCCCAGTGTCAGCACCAAGCCAGGTTCTGTTTTGTGAGACCTGTGTGAGACTTTTACTTTCTTACTTTTGGGGATGGCATCTTCTGGGGGTGACCTTCTCTTAGCTATGCACTTGGGTGGCATTTTCCTGTCCTCGGTGCAGGGTGGCCACAAGCAACTCCAGCACTTAGGAGCCGGCGGAGAACTCTACTTCACTATATTTTCATATTTTTAAACCTTATGATGGAAGCTACCAGAGTCCAGTGTCTTCTAGACTAATCAAAATAGAGAAACTATATATGTTTTAGAGGAGGCTATTAGCTTTTAGAGCCATAAAGACTCCTGAATTCTCTGCTGCCTCTATGAATTTTAACTTTCTTTTATTTATTCTTTGTGTCATTCACATCATGCCTCCAGATCACATCCTTCTCCTCCCCTCCCCACAAAAAGCAAAACAAAATTTAAGAGAAAAATGGAAAAACAAAAAAAAAAGGAAGAAGGGGAAATCTTGTCATGGAAGCTACAGTGTAACATATTGAGTCACGCAATAAACCTTTTATCCATACATTGTTACATTCAGAAATTCATAGCAAAGAATCATTGATCTAGTTCAAGGCACTTGGTTCCAGTTATGCCATCAATACTGTGGCCTCATTTGGGACTCTTCCTGGACATCTCATTACTGCCCTGTGTCATGGAGATTCTTAAACCCTGAGTCTAGGTACTGACCCACCTTCCCACACCCCACTGTGATCCACAAGATCACAAATGGGGTGGATGTTGAGGTGGACCAACCCATAATCCTGGTATAGCCAGCATAGTTGCAGGTTTGTCATCTCGCCATCTCTCCCCTGTCTTCGCCACCAGGGTAAGCTCTCCAGTATTGCTCTAGCTAACTGACCTCTTAAAGCAATGAGCAAAGGGTGGGCTAGTTCTTCAGTTTTCATGTCCTCAGTATTGGTTCTCCCACACCAACACCTTCAGGGTCTCTATTGTGCTGTCCAGATAAGGTGCAGGGTCCACTTTTCCTAAGCTGCTGCTGGTAAGGGGGAGGATCAGCTTCCTTGCTCACCACAGGTGGTAGGGCAAGGTGGAGTGGGCATCTTTCCTTCACTCTCATTACCACACCACAGACCAGGGAGGCAGTACAGACTACACACCTCTCATACCCTCATTGCTAGCTCAATCATGCCTCTGTCTACAGAGTCAACTCTCATCTGCTGCCCTGTTGAGGCTCAGGGAACCCTGCAGCTGGAGAGGAGTTAGGTCAGGTCCCTCACAGGTAGTGAGGGTTGGGGGAGGAGGGAATCTTTGCCTCGCTGGAACCACCACATGGCATACAAGATAGACATGAACTGCTCTCCCATTCTCATGTACTCAGGGCCAGTTCACACATGCCCCTGTGAACAGGGTCAGATCTATTGTGGTACCCAGGTGAGATATAGGATCTTCTCTCCTGAGAGCTGCAGCCAGTGAGGGATGGAACCAGTTCTCCGTAGTGTTATAGACATCGAGGAGTGGGGCCAACTCTGTACAGCCCAATCCTCTCTGTCTTTGGTGGTATCACCAGAGACATCAACATGTGACAAAGGCTGCATCAGAGCCTGAACTCAGACCTGATCACTAGCTGAAGCCCAGGCCTAGACATTATCATGATACCCACCTCAACCAACTCCTCATCAAAGCCTCTACAAATATGCCTCTATCCACAGGGCATGAACTATTCTATCTCTCTTATTCTCTCTCTCTCTCTCTCTCTCTCTCTCTCTCTCTCTCTCTCTCTCTTTCTCCTCTCCCATACCACACCACACATTTGCTCATCATAGTAGTGCCCATCTGTCTGATGCTGCAAGATACCAGATGGGCCAGTGTTTTCTTCTAAAAGCCTGGGTTGGACCACCTCAGGCCCATTTATGAGTCTCCTTGTGCTGCTTAGACAGTCATGGGGCTGGGGAGGACCATGCTTCCTTACCACAAAGAGATCATAATAGTGCCCATAGGGGTTAGGCAGGTTCCTGGTTGTTGTGGAGGAGGTGTTTCTAGAGTCTTCTTGCCAGCCTATGCTAGAAGACTCAGGCTGTTATCTATTGAGTTCTGCCTTCTGTCTCCATGAATTGTAAAGGAAGATCTAGCTTAAACATTGGGTTAACCTGGGAGAAATAAAGATTTTTTCCCCCTTTTGGAAAACTGCAATGACTAAAACAAACCTGGGAAATAGCAACTGGGAGAATCCCCTACTGCCTACTGCCACTAAGTAGATAGATGATGTGGAGACAGTGATGCTGGGTTCTAGAAGTCAGAATTATGTGGTAGCAGGTAACCCTTTCTGAAGGGCAGAAATAAGGTTGCCATAGGTACAGTTAAGTAAGATGATTCCTTTACCCAACATGACTTATATTCTTATTTTATAAAAGGGGGAGCCATAGATACTGAAAGAGAATATATGCACACTGGTGTACACATAGACTGATTCTACTATCCAAGCCAAGGAAGGCAATGATGGTCTTAGAGAGAAACAGCTGTGCAGTGGAGCTAATCCAGTACCCAGCAATAGAATTTTTCCCTGGGCAGAGATGAGGAAAAGAAATCTTCTGGCCTGCTCTCAACTCCCCTCTTTATTCACCCCAATGTGTGTTGCCAGATATTCGATCACACTGTGAACTCAAAGTTTGCATTTGCATTGATTAAATAAAATTAACCTTGGGTCAAGAGGCAGACTTGGCAACTAGTTGACAGAAAGTGATCATAGAACATCAAAAGGCATGCAGAAGGGATAGAGAAGCACGTGTAGTAGTTGGAAGGGATTTGGAGTGGCACTTTTTTTGTTGTTGTTTTGGTTTGGTTTTGGGGTTTGGCAGAGAGGAAGCACAGGTCTTTGGAGACACCAGCAAGGAGAAAGGGTTAGCTAGTTGCTACTACTCAGCCTCGCTGAGCTTGCAGGTTTTCACCCCAGCCTTTGAATCTTGAGTCTTATTTATAAGTAGAATGATAGAGATTTAGTTAAAGCTATCTTTAGTGGCAGTGACAGGGCCTATGCCTGCAGGAACAACAATCTCACCAGTCTTCATCCTGAGTGGTTAGGCCACTGCTAGAAAAGCAGACCAGTAACTGTGGAGTCATAATTGCTGGCTGAAATAGCAGTAGATTAAGGCACAGCCACTGAACTGAAGATAAAATAACTAAGAAGTGTGGAAAGTATCATTCCCTAAAATACCAAGTAGAACTGAAAATGGCAGGGGTGGGTGTAAGGGAAAATATTACCTTCTCTATGACTTAACTAGGGAAGATCATTGCTTTTGTCTTAGGATTTCTATTGCTGTGAAGAGACACTATTGCCACAGCAACTCTTATAAAGGAAAACATTTAAGTGGGGGCTGATTTACAGTTCAGAGGTTTAGTCTATCATCATCATGGAGGGAAGCATGGCAGAGGGCAGGCAGACATGGTGCTATAGAAGAAGCTGAATTCTACAAATGGATCCTCAGGCAGAAAGAAAGAAGAATGAGCCAGTGGACCTAGGTTGAGCTTCTGAAACCTCAAAGCCTACCCCAGTGACACACTTATGTACCTAATAAGTCTCTCTATGTTACTTGGGACCTTAACATGGCGACAGGCGGAACTTGGGCAGCCTAGTAGAAAGCACCCACATGGCAGCAGGGCTCAGGAGGCTTGGTGGAAAGAATTATTGTTACAGAATGGCATCAGTGAGTGGGATCACCCCACGCTCCAAGGTTCACAGAGGAAGAGGGGAATCTGCTGCTCTTGTCGAGCTGCTGCATGGCATCGGAGCAGCTTCCATAAGCTTGCACATTCTGTGCTCTTTGGGGTTTGACTCAGTGCTCCCAAGACAGCCTGCAACCATGGAGAGTTCTAGGGTTAGGATTCTGTGCTCTCACCACTGCGAGCCACCTTCCTGCGACTAGTCAAGCAGGGCAGCTGGTGGTAATGTTACGAACTTCGATGTAAACTTTACAAAAGATTAAAAAGGGATTTTGGAAGCAAAAGAACAGAGACAAGCATGACTTCTTGGTAGCAGCATTTTCTCGGGCAGTCTCTGTTTTGCTAAAGGCAAGCAGAAACTCAAGCGGTTCCTTTTAGGGAGGTTTCCTGTCTCAGCATAAACGGAAAACAACATGTTTCTTTTTAAGAGGCCTGGCCAGCTAGCTCAGTTGGTAGAGCATGAGATGCTTAATGTGGGTTCGTGCCCCTTGCATCTGGCAGTGGTAGTGACAACATCTCCAAGCCAGCAGCTTGCTGCTTGATGGTATAGACCAAGGCAGTGAACACAGCTCTCAGAGTTGATGATAAACGTACCTCCACCATCTTGAAAAAACAGCAGCTAAGAAGGCCACTTAATTTTGGCGGTATTGTTTAACAGTTAAAAGACTGTGTGGCCAGAAAAAAGTAAATACTTACAATAAAGACAGATACAGATGAATAAAAACCTCTAAAGATTTACAGTGTGTTTAAAAATATATGTAGGCTTGTGAGAGAAAAAGAGGAAGAAAAACATAGAGTAGCTGGGTGTTGGTGGCTCACACCTTTAATTCCAGCACTCCAGAAGCAGAGGCAGGCAGATTTCCACAGAGAAACCCTGTCTCAGGAAAAAAGAAACACAAGGAAGTAAAACAAATAAATAGCCATGTAAAGATGGAAAATACACAGAGAATCTGGATACTATATGCTATATTGTTATCTTTAAATTGTTTGCTGAGGGAAGAGCTACAGCTGGTACAATACATTTGATTATCAATGCTGCTAAATTAATGCAACTTATACATTTTAAAAATGTCTTGACTTCAAAATTTAAGTCTAACGACAGACTACTTGGGAAAGGAGTTCTTGCTTGTGTTTCCACAGAAAAATGGAAAGCTATGGATTCCTTCCAGACTAATATGGTTTGATCAAGCAAGACCCCCTGAAGCAGCAGCCCAACTGATCCTATATCCAAAACAGCAGAGATGATGTAGCCATAGATGACTACGGCCAGATTTCTGTGTTTTATCATGATCCCCATGGTACGGACATCGACCCCAACCAGCAGGAAGCAGTTTGGAATGAATGATGCCCAAATTCCCAAATATTGTTTATAAATGTTTGTTTTTACTTAAATGGGGTTGGTTATAAATGGTAACGATCACAGTCAATCTCTTTTTAAA